CTATGTGCAGGGCGGGGCTGTTGTTCTCTTGGACAAACAGGGTGTAGGAGCTTTGTGTGAAGGCGGGAGCGTTGTCGTTGACATCAGACACCTGCACTGTTATGGTGTGCTGGGTTGTGAGCCTGGGTGTGCCCAGGTCGCTGACTGTGATGGTGATGTTGTACTCAGATCTGCTCTCTCTGTCCAGAGGGCTCTCCGTCACCAGGGTGTAAAAGTTCTTGTTAGAGGGTTTTAAAATGAATGGCAGACTATCTGGAATAGAACAAATGATTTTCCCGTTCTCTCCAGAATCTCTGTCTCGTATTCGGAAGATAGCAACCACAGTTGCGGGAGCATTTTCTGGGACTGAGCTGGTCAGTGAAGATATGGTCAGCTCTGGGGCGTTGTCGTTCACATCCACCACCTCTATCAGCACAGCCCCCTTCCCAGAAAGGCCTCCTCCATCTGTGGCCTCGATTTCCACATGATAAGATTTAATTTTTTCAAAATCCAGTGCTCTTTTCAGTCGTATTTCTCCCGTGATTTCGTTTATTGAGAAAGTCTGTTGAACTTCATCTGATGCTTGGAACAAGCCATAGGAAACTCTCCCAAAGTTGCCAGCATCTGCATCCTGTGCTAGGACAGTCAGGACCGCGGAGTCTGGGGGGCTGCTCTCCAGGACCTGCACCTCATAGGGGGTCTTCACAAATTCAGGGGCATTGTCATTGATGTCCAGGATCAGGATTCGAACCATGGCTGTTCCTGACCTAGGTGGAGAGCCCCCATCCAGAGCCGTGAGGGTCAAGCTCAGCTCTGCCTGCTCCTCTCTGTCCAGGGCTCTGTCCTGCACCAATTCTGGGTATTTCTTGCCTTCGCTATTATTTCGAGTGAGGACATGAAAATGAGAGTTGGGGTTGACTGTGTACTGTTGAAGCCCATTGCTGCCCACATCCAAGTCCTGAGCTAGTTTTAATGAAAACCGTGAGCCTGGCTGGCTGTTTTCTGGTATTTTCAAGAGCATTTCCCTATCTGGGAATTCTGGTGAGTGGTCATTTATGTCCTGGATCAGTAATTCTCCTTGGAAAAACTGCACTGGCTTTTCTAGGAACACCTGGAAATGCAGGACACAGGGGTCCACAGTGGCACAGAGCTCTTCCCGGTCTAGTTTCTCCCTCAGAAGCAGATCTCCTGTCTCGGGATCCAGAATCAACTGCTGTTTGTCATAGTCAGACGCCACCCGTGCAGACCTGGCTGCCAGGTCCCCATATCTCAGACCCAGGTCCTTGGCCAGATGTGCTACAAAGGAGCCGCTTTCTGTTTCCTCCAGGACAGAGTACCGAGTAGGCATCGTTAGAACCTGATCCCACAGCAGCATAAAAAGGAAAGCAATCACTTGCCTGTTTGGGTGTTTTCTCTCCAGCTTCTCCATGATGAAAACGCGAGTGCTTGCATCCAATTGTTCAGCTCACTCGGAATGACTTGAAAGCAGAATTCTGATTTCTCCGTTAGAGATTCTTTACCTAGTTGCTCTTAATCTTTGTTAATTTAGAATACCGCGGCCCAAACCCATTCAGAGCCCGGTATTCCTTGAGATGCTTCCTGTCCGTGTTTTTGATTCTGTCTTGCAACACAAAGTGCCAGGAAGCTTTTTAAGCGGTTATTCATAACCTTAGCCTGCAGCGCCACCCTGCGTCCATATTGAGAAAATGACCGTGTTTTCAAGTCGGAAATCTTTTGAAATTTTCCAAATGAACATGTAGAAATGTTTATACTTTTTATGTTTACAGGTGTTTTTCTCATTTTAGGTTACATAAACAATAAAGATTTTTCAATTTGGGGTATGTTCCAGAAGAATTTTTAGCATACAACAGGAAGTTAACTCAGCTTTCTCAATGGCCAAGTGGTGGAATTTGACAGTTCTTTTGTATTTTGCATATCTAACCAAGTAAACTAAATTCTTAATTTTGAATCCACTTCTTGATAGGTGCATCAGTTTGTTTCTCACAAATAAGCACTTTTTAGAGATGCAAAAATTTTAAGTAATCTATACCATATCATCCTAAAGAGGAGATTTTTTTCCCCTAAGGATGGCTTCTATTTCTCTACATTGGTGTGCCAATAGCAGAACCATTGAATAAAGTAGTTTGATGTTTACTGTGTGAAATAAAATAGATCTAGAGAGAGATTAGGTAAACCATGATCAAGCCACAGAATGTTAGGCCTGGAGAGGGGATTAAAGAATTTTAACAAATGAGGTAATAATTGAGGCTTGAAATGATGATAGAGTTACTCTATAATCAGGATCCAAGCAGGACAAAATCAAGAGAGTGGAGCTCATACAATTTTCCCAAGGCTTTTGGCTACCTGTATGTAAGGAATTAATTCTTAAATGAGGCTTTATTTTGGTTTCTGATTTGATATGATATAATCTATCATAGGAGTTTATTTTATAGTGAGCTTCATGTAACCCTTTAAATCGTGGGCATCATAAACCCCAGGAGAAAGCAAGTACTCACTTAAAATATTTTGAGCATGAAACAATAAGATTCCCATCTCCTCACAATCTTATGGGCAGAGAGTGACGGGTGTGCCAGGGATTGCCCATGAAAACTAGAGAATTCATCTGAAAATATTTCCAGCGTGAGTGTAGCTGCTATGGTTACCTTGAAAGATAACTGGAGCATCATGGGGGAACATTTAACTAGGTCACTGGTTACAGGTTGTCTACTTCATGGTGTATCATTTGCCTTTCTTGTGCAGGATTTCCTGTGCTGCCTGTTCACCTGATTTCATTTAGTTATTGGATTGATTTATGGTTTATGTTAAATAAGTTGTTGCTAAAATATGTCAGTTCTCTCATACTCTGGATTGGAAAACGTGGGTTATTGTAAGTGTTGATCAAGTGTCAGTTGAATAAATAAATGCACTCACATGGTTACATTTCTGTCTGCATAAGCACTGGCATAAAATAAAGTAAAGATATAAAATAAATACTGAAGAGACTAAAAACAAAGGATGTATCTTTTTTAAAAAATGAATGTAAAACAGGTCCCCTGAGTAGAACAAATAGCAAAGTCCCTAGCATAGTATGCAGGTTCTAGGTAGACATAGGATAAACGGTTTGGAACAAAATTTGACTATATTTTATTTTCCCATTTTCCCATGTTGACAAAGTTTTGAGATAGAATTTCAGTAGTACTAACATTATAAATCACCAAACAGAAAAAATCTTTTACATATTAATTCATTTCCTCTCCAATCAACTCTGTAAAATTAGTCCTTGCATTGTCCATGTTTTACAGATGAAGAAAATGAGATTTAGCTGAAATAATTTCCCCAATGTCACATGCCATGTAATGTTCTCCAGGGTTTGCTATCCATCTCTAGCAAATTTAGTTCCAATGTGTTATGTTCCTTTCCTACTTCTGTATTTTTAAAAACACTATTTTTGGATAATGATCTTTGTCCTACAAACTTAATAAATTTTTATAATTTATTTTATAATTTAATAGTCTTTTGTAAATTCCCCAGCATTTTGCTTATATTTGTATAGCATAAGCTTACAATAAGTAGTATCATATGCAAGTATGTTTCTGTTTTTCAGCTCTCAACCTGAATAATTTTATTCCTTGTACTTTCCTAATTGCAATGGCTAGAACTTCTAGTACAATGTTAAATAGAAGCAGTGAGATCTAATGTCCTTTATTTGTATTTTTTTACTGTTAAGTATGATGTTAACCGTGTGGTTTTATAGCTTTTTTTAATCAGGCAGAAGACTTTTCATTTTACTCCTACTGTTTTGTATGTTTTATCATCATGAAAGTATTGTGTTTTCTAAAATGTTTTTCTCCATTTATTGAAATAGTTGTGTGACTTTATTTATTATTTTGCTAACACGGTGTATTACATTGATTTGAGTGTTGAACAGATGTTTTATTCCTAGGATAATCTTTCTTGGTCCTAACATATAATCTCCATGTATGTTAATGGAGTTAATATCCTAGTATTTAATTGAGAAATTTTGAAGTCATGCTCTTAAAGAAAATTAGTGTTTAGTTTTCTTGTGTTTTCTGATTTCATCATGGGGGCAATTACCACCTCCATGAGTTTATAAGTAGTTTCTACTCCTCTATTTTCTAAACAGATTCTAAGTATTGATGTTTTTCTTTAATATTTGGTAGAATTTGTATGTGGAGTCATCTGGTTCTAGGACTTTATGGGAAAATTTGAATACTAACAATAATTCATTATGGGTCTATTCTGACTTTCTATTTCTTCTTTAGTCAATTTTATCAGTGTATGTTTCCAGAAATTTTTAAAGTTAATTTTAGTTTTATAACTGGATTACCTGAAACTGATCATAGGATTATAAGAGAACTCTATTTTAATCTCTTCTGTGTGAATAAATTTCCCCTTTATTCCATATTTTGATAATTCGAATCTTCTTTTTCTCTGTGTTAATCAGAATAAAAGCTTGCCAGTTTTCTTGATTGTTACAGTAGTCTCACCTTTGTTTCAATTGGTTTGCACTTATGCTGTTTTCCATTTTGTAATTCATTGGTTCCATCTTCTCTAATTTTCTTTTGTTCTTTGGTGCTTAGAATGATCTTATTCTATTTTTTTCCTTTTGTTCCTTTTTTCAAGACTAGATCATTACAACCCATCTAGCTTTATACTCACCAGGAATACAGGTCTTGTCTTAAAGTAGAAGCCTGAGATTTTGATTTTAGATCTTTTTAATATGGGTTATTTTCTGCCATAACTTTCCTCTAAGCATAACTTTAATTACATAACATACATGTTGCTATGTTGTATATTCATGTTTTGGTCATTTTTGATATGTTCTTTGTAATTTCTTTTCTACCTCATTGAATGCTAAGAAATATGTTGATTTCCATATGTTTGTGAATTTTCTAATTTTCAAGTTAATTCTTTTATAGTTGTAGATCAAGCTTTGCTTGGGTTTAATATTTAAAATTTGTGGACTCATATTTTATGATGGTCTATCATGAAGAATGTGCTATTAGAAATTGAAAAACTATCTCCTGCTGTTTTTGAATAGAATGCTCTGTTAGGTGTAGTTTTGTTTAAAAATTATATTAATTTGGAGGGCTTATGGCATGGTGCATTTGTGGGGGTCAGAGGAAAACTTTTGAGAGTCTGTTCTTTCCTACCATGTGGGTCCTGAGGATTGAACTCAGGTCATTTGGTTTATTGAACCACCAAACCACCTCACTGGACCTGTAGTTGGTTTTTAGGTCTTGGTGATAAATTTTTGAGAGAATACAATCCATCATGATGGAGAGGACATGACAGTGGGCACATGAAGTGGCTGGTCACAAGGCATCTAAAGTCAGGGTGCAGAGAAAGAAGTCTCCAGGGGCTCAGCTCTTTCTCTTTTTGTCTTGGACTCCACCCCATGGTATGGTGCCAACATGTTTCGGGTGTGTTTTATCTCCTCAGTTAAGTATCTCTGGACACACCTTCACAGACACACCCAAAGGTGTACCTCATTAATGATGTAGGTGTTCTTTTTAACCCCAGTCAAATTAATTCATCAAAAGTAAATATGATTTGTGTCAAATTTTGTTTCATTTGTTGGTCAATTGATCTCAGCTGTTAGCTTGATAAGATTTAGAATTACCTGGGACATGTGCCTTGGGCATTTCCTTAGGGGACAATCTTGAATCATTTGAGGTAGGAAGATCTGCCCACTGTAGGTAGCACTAGTCCTTTGACTAGGATCCTGGACTGTATAAAAATGGAAAAGTGGAGTGAACACAAACATTCATTGTTCTCTGCATCCTAGCTGTAAATGCCCTGTGTCCAGCAACTTCAAGCTCCAGGACTTCCTTCAGGGACTGACTATACCCTTGAACTGTGCGTCAGAATAAATACTTTATCCCTAAGTTGCTTTGGCCATGGTGTTTTATCACAGTCACAACAAAGTAACTAAGACATTTATTTTGAGGTACTATATTTTGGTACATTTTTGTTTAGGTTGTCATGTTTTCCCAATAGATTTTCTCTTTTATCACCTATGATGGCCTCTTTAATGGTGTTTTAATGATCTTTAAAATTAATTTGTGGTTGACTTTGCTATTCTCCAAACTCTCTTTTGTTTACTGTCTATATGGTATACCTTTTTTCATTCACCAACTTTCAACAATATATCTTTGAATAATTAGGAATATATGTTCATGCATATATAATTTGTAAAAGTAGAATTTGTGTTATTGTGTAACACAAATTAGAAGAAAGGGCTATAGATAACGTATACTGTACAAGATTCATAAAAATTAATGGTTAATCTTAATAACTATAGAAAATAACCACCCAAAGGAAAGTTCTTTTGTGGTACTGGAGATAGAACCTAAGGCCTTAAGCATGCTGAAAGTGTGCTCTACAGCAGTCAAGCTCAGTCTATGGGGGTCTGAATGAGAATGGTCCCATAGGCTCACTTATTGAATACTTGGTCCCCACTTGGTGGAACTGTTTGAGAAGGATTGGGTGTGGCCTTGCTGGAGCTGGTGTGTCACTGGGTATGCTTAGGGGTTTCAAAAGCCCATTCCTTTCCAAGTTAGCCCCTTGCTCCTGGATCAAGGTATAAGCTTTCAGGTAGTTCTCCACACCATTCCTGCCTTCTGCCATACTTCCTGCCATGATGCTCTTGTACTCTCATCCTCTGAAACTGCACGTCCCCAGGGAATTTGTTCTTCTTCATAGAATCTTTCTTGATAGAATTCTT